GTGCCAATACTAGGGAAGTCTTAGCCAGTGCCTGTTAACTGTCCAGGTAAGTCCTTGCTAGAGTCTTAATGTGATAAATCTCTGACTGTCATGTAGTTAAATCTCAGCAAGTCCATAAACATAGTCATAGCTTAGTTAAGACTTGGCTAAGACCCAAGTTGATTAAGATATAATAGAGTCTAGTTAAGGTGTAGCTGGGAATATTGTTGATACCACTACCATATTTTTGATAGTATTTGTTTTATATTTTTAAGTGTGTGTGTGTGTGTGTGTGTGTGTGTGTGTGTGTGTGTGTGTGTGTGTGTGTGTGTAGGCATGTGCACATGTATGCAGAGGCCAGAAAATGCCATTGTATCTCCTGCAGCTAAAGTTACAGGCAGTTGTGAGCCATCTGATGTGGATTCTAGGAACCCAAATTGGGTCCTCTCTAAGAGCACAAAAGAATCTTAAGCTCAAGCTGTCACTCCAGCCACTGACTTTATTATATCCTAGTAAAGCTTGGGCATTCTTTGCAGACCTTAACTAGTCTTAAGGCTTAATAGAGCTCTGGATAGACCTAAACTAGACTTATGCATTACCTTGACATTAAATGGACTCTAATACTCTAATTCTAGGTCCAGGTCATGCCTAGAATTCAATCAGACTTGATTACATCTTAACCAAGCTTAGGCTTTTGTAAGTATTAACAAAGCTTATCATTGCTGTTAGTAAGATTCCTGTTAAGCACTAGTCAGGGCTTATGCCTAATTCAGGCTGGTCAGAGCCCAGCTAAACTCTAGCTAATATCTAAGTCGATTTTAGCTTCATTCAGACTCTAGCTGAGCTCTCATCAGGGTCCAATCCTGGTTCCACTCAAAGTACAGCTGAATCCTTGCAATGTCATAAGCATGGTTAAACTCTAATTAGACTCTAAGACTATGTTGGGTCTAGTAAGAGCCTCATTGCTTCTAGCCATGCTGGAAGCATAGCTAAATTCAAATGAGTCCATGAAAATCCTAGTTAGGGCCTAAGATTAATTAAGTCTGAGGGACAGAGTACTTAACCCCTAGCAATGATATAAACATTGTTTAGTTCTATTAGATATGGCTAAGAGTCAGCAAAGGCCTCAGACTATATATAATAAAATCTCATTGAAGTCTAGGCAGGGCCTAAGCCTATGTAAGTATTGTTGATCAGAGCCCAAAAGAATGTCTAGCTAAGGTTATAGATCACAGTTAAGCCCTGGCCTTGGTCTAAGCCTTATTTAGGTATAGAGAGAGACTGGCTAAACTCTATGCAGAAAATAAGCTTGGTTCAGGTTTATGAATATCTTAGTTAAGACATAGCTTGGGCTTCAGCCTCATTCAGATATAATTAAGTCTAACTTTTGTCTTGGCAGAGACTAAGACTAGTTAAGGGTTGGTAAGAGCACGTTTAGGACCTAGCTGTTGTAAAGGTTTCATTTGGTCCTAGTTGGAGCCTAGTTCAGATCTTCCCAGGATCTAATACTGTTTTAAATTCTGTTAAAACATAAGTGGTTCAGGTTTAGTTAGAACGGACATAAGCTCTTTTGAGTATATAAGGCTAATTAGGTTTAGCAAGAGCTGAGACAAACTCTCTCCCAGGGAGTAAACCTATCAAGTGTTATTCATAGTATAATTAAAGAGTTACAAATTTATAAATGTTCAAGTGTCAATTAGAGGCCTCCTTTAGAACCTAGCTGATATTTCAGCCTAGTTTAAACATAATTCGATGCCAGTTATAACAAAAGCAGGACCTAAACTCTCTTTAGTATAAGTCAGAGCCAAGATAAGCCCTCACCAAAGCCTAAGCCTAGTTAATTTCTAGGTTGAACTGAATTATGTCCTATGAAAGTCATAGAAATCACATAGTATTATTGAACTTTCTTTAGACTTAACCAAGGTGTAGGTGTAGCTAAGTCTAGTTAATTCCTCAGTATATTTAAATGTTAGATTTTACTTAACATTTTACTTAAAGCCTAGCTAATGACTGAGCTCAGGTTAAGTCTGGTCAGAGCCCAGTTAAGGCCCACTGAGAGACCAAACGGGGATCAGGCCTAGTCACCTCAGTTAAGAACTAGGCAGAACATTTGCTTACTTAAGTACTGGTTAGCTTGGCTAAAATCTTGTCAATGCCACTAAGGCACATTTGAGACCCTAAATATCCTTGCAACATAGTCATGGTATAATTAGCAGGGCCCCAGCACAGTTGAAATCTGTCAAAGCCCTAATAGGGTGTAGTCAAAGCCTTGTTCTAGTTAAAAGCAAACTAGTTTGGTTTAAGACTCAAATTATTTAAGTATTAAAATTTATTTTGTCAAATTTTAGTGTAGTTGAGTCTTGGGTAGCTCCAAACAAATGTCTAGTTTAGTTCCAGCCCAGGAACTTGCTGAAGAATTATTTTTGGCCTACATTTAGTTTATGTACAGTCAAATCCTAGTAGTGCTTGCATAATTGGAGACTGGTTAAAGACCAAATCTTAAGCCGGGCGGTGGTGGCGGCGGTGGCGCACGCCTTCAATCCCAGCACTCGGGAGGCAGAGGCAGG